AGTGTTAGAGCTAGCCGAATAAGGGTAGATTAGTCATTTTATTTCTTTTAAGTTATGTGCTTATGTGACAGTCTTAATAGTGACTTCCTGTCCCATACTTAAGTGGGGGCAGTTTAGTCTTTGTACTACTAATTAGAGGCTAATCCATATTAAGGGTYGACTGATAGGGTTTATTCTATCATGTTCGACTGTTCTCTTCATCTTCTTCTTTTCTCCTGGTTCGAACTACTGTAGCTACAGAACAAACATTCCTCTTTTCTCAGTTCGGCTGAACAACACAAACAAGAATTATTGAAGCAGTCTCAACTAGTGTCTTCTTTCTATAGGGACATGGGTGTGAGTGGATCTTTGATGTTTTTGCTTTAGCGAGAGCTCATGTAATTGACCCAGTTACAGCTTCTCACTGTAGTGTAGGCTCAATTTTGGCTGTATCTATCCTATTCTCTTGTTCAGTACAATACATTATCTTCTCCAATAAATTATTTTGCTAACCAGAGGAGATTCCTGTCATTGTTTTCTTTTTTATATGTTTTCATTATTTGAGCTAAATGTTTCTGTGGTCTGACTAAACATTATCTTTACAGTGTTATTGATATTTTGATACTGTTTGGTTTAACTATGCATCTTGTGATGGCATATTATTATATTGACCATATTGAGTATTTGCAGCATATGGATCTTTCAGCCTTGTGGAAGTTTTTACAGATAAAATTGTCTCCTGGTACAGTTCATCATCCCATTTTCCTTGTATTAATGACTGACTTTTTAAAATGGGAATTTAGTAGTTTGAAGATACCTTTTTAGAGTAATAAAGAATTTTGGTCAGAGCATAGTCCACTAACTCTTCTAGGAAATATTTTTGCAAATATGGTTCTCATATTTAATTTGATTGGTTATATAATTGCAGTTATTCACTTTATGACAACATTTTTTCTTCTTTTGTCCGGAAAGATGTGCTACATTTTCTAACCTATATATTGTACAACAATTTTCTTTAAATTTTACTAGGACCACACTGTTTGGACTGTTTTTTTCCCCAATATGTTATATGTATGCATTTTTATTATCCCATGCATATGTTGTATGAATTGTACCCTATATGCCAGGAACAAATCCATGTTGTACGGCAAGATAATGGGAATTAGGCTTGGCTAGTTGATATGTGTTGTTAGAATGATTTGTTAGTTGTTTCTGCTGTTATAGGATTTTATGCTGTTAACTGTCAGTTGTTTACTGTTTTTTATTAAGGTGTGCCGCCAGGGGCAAGCGTGCAAATTTTCTTCTTTTATTTTTTATCTCATTAATATAAATAGAAAGCTGGGTGCCGCCAGCTGAAGGTTTTGGCTCCCAAACAGCCGATCTCTCTTCTCTTCCTTCTTCTTCCTAGAAGAAAACATGGTATCAGAGTGAACTTCTGGGCTCGTCAGTTTTTTGATTTCTTGAACTGTGAGGTGCAAAAGCTTAATCAGACTGGTTAGAATTCTCAGACTGTGGTTTCTCTGGGTTCTTCCTTGGTCGTAACACCAAGGAAACCCTAGTTGGTGACAACCGATGCTGTATAAGGGGTTGTGTGCTCCCTTGTGACGGGTATGTGCTGTTCTCTTTTAGTGTGTGGCTTGTGTGGCCTAATGGTGATTGAAGACTGATTTTTTTGKGTCCGTTGCATTAGCTGCAACATGTGGTACTAATGTAGGAAAGAAAAGTGATCCCAAGAAAGCTGATGTGACAAGGACAAGCTATGGTGCACTCACTGCCAACGTTCAAAACATACTCGTGACACATGCTGGGAGCTCTTTGGAAAACCGAAGTGTGCTGTGAAAAAGGAAGAGCAAGGTAAGGTGCAGGGTCAGAAGAAGTACAATGTAGCAAATATGGTAACTCAAAATTCTTACTCTACTAGTAACCCTGGTGCCACATAGGAACAGTCCACAAGTTCTGACCCAAAGGAGGATTTCATGAACTCATCCCGTAACCATTTGGAACTGTATGGTAGGGCTGTACGTCAGATGGACAACTCATTTACTGGTACTCTGACTTCATTTACATCTTCATCAAGTAATGCGGCCTCTGCCTTCCATGTTTCCACTACCATTGATTCCCCTTGGATTATTGATTCAAGGGCCTCGAACCACATGACCGATAAGCGAAATCTTTTCCAGTCTTATAGCCTGTTGTGTGGAAGAGGTAAGGTGAGGCTTGCATATGGATCATTCTCATCCATTGCAGGCCAGAGATTAATATCTTTTCCCCATGGCCTCAACCTTAATAATGTGTTACATGTACCTAAACTTCCTATCAATTTGCTTTCCATTAGTAGTATCACAAATTCTTTAAATTGTAGTGTAGCCCTTTTTCCTGGTTCATGTATTTTTCAGGATCTAATTTCTAGGAGAACGATTGGTAGAGGAAGCTTAGTAGATAGATGTTCTCTATACTCTTGACAAGGCTGGTTTCTCGGTGTCATCTTCAGTTGGGTCATCTTCAGAGTCACATTGTCAGTTGGGTCAGTCCAATAAGAGTCAAGTTTTTTTTTTGTGGCATAATCGTCTAGGTCATGTGTCCTTTGAAATATTAAAGTGTTTGTTTCTGTTTTTATTTAAGTCATGTGTGCTGTCAGATTTTCAGTGTCAAATGTGTTAATTGAGTAAACAACATAGAACAACTTTTCATTCAAGTAATAGAAGAGCAAATTTCTATTTCCATATTGTGCATTCTAATGTCTGGGGCCCTACTACTATAACTTCAAAGGGTGGATATAAATGCGTTATCACATTGATTGATGACTTTTCTCGTTATACATGGATATTTCCTATGCGTACTAGAGATGAAGTCCCAAAGATTATAAGGGACTTTCAGAGGATGGTGTTTACACAATTTCATGTTGAGATTCAGATATTTCAATCAGATAACGCGAAAGAATATTTACATGGTGAGCCTAATGAATTTTTGCTTGCCATGGATCCCTTCACAGGAGTTCATGTGCAAGAACACCACAACAAAATGGTGTTTCTGAAAGAAAGAATAGACACCTTCTTGAAGTAGAGGGGATGATGTTACATATGAATGTGCCGTAACGTTTATGGGTAGATGTTGTATTTGCTGCTGCATATGTCATCAATAACATGCTTGTAGGGGTGACACATTCAAGAACTACAAGTCCCCCCATCAGTTGTTGTTTCCTCAGTCCCCTCTGTTTTCCATCCCTATGAAGGTGTTTGGTTGTTGTGCCTTTGTTCATGACTTGTTTCCTTTTTGTGGTAAGTTGGACCCTCGGTCTAGTCCTTGTGTCTTCCTTGGGTATCCCTCTTCTCAAAAGGGGTACCAGTGTTTTGATCCTATTGGTCATAAGTACTTTGTCTCTATGGATGTTTCCTTCAAGTTTGAGCCTTTCTACCCTGCTTCTCCTTGGGGGGAGAGTAGTACAGGGGAGGAAAAGTAGGTTTCCAAGTCTCTCTTCCCTATATTCTGGATCCAACTCCATTTCGTGTCTTCCTGCGCACACGCCGTAGAGACTAACAATGTTCTAGAGATGTAGAGCTACCAGATACTGACAACCGACGCCATTAGACTCCCAGGAGGTAAGTCCAAATGAGCCAGACATCCTTGCCCCTATTGATTCCCCTGTTCCCATTTCAGTTGTGGATGATCTTGACATCCCGATTACTCACAGAAAGGGAGTCATATCGTGTACTACCAAACACTCTATTACCCACTATGTATCTTATGACCACATTTTCCCCTCTCACCATGCATTCTTATTTGCTGTTGATAGTATTCCCATACCCAAAAATGTGGTAGAGGCTCTAACTTATCTTGAATGAACAGATGCTATGAAGGAGACTAATGCCCTCCATAAGAATCACACTTGGGAGTTAGTGGATCTTCCAAAAGGGGAAGACTCTGTGGGGTGTAAGTGGGTGTTTACAGTGAAACACAAGGTTGATGGAATGGTAGAAAGATACAAAGCAAAGTTGGTAGAAAAAGGGTACTCTCAGGTTTATGGTATTGATAATGATGAGACTTTTGCCCCTGTAGAGAAAATGAATTCAATTTGGGTTTTTTCATCATCGATTGCAAAACTTGACTAGGAATTGCATCAACTTGATGTGAAAAATGCCTTCTTAAATGGTGATATGGAGGATGAGGCTTATATTGTTCAGCTACTAGGCTTCTGTGCCAAAGGAAGTGAGAATAAGGTGTGCAAGTTGAGAAAGTCCCTCTATGGCCTAAAACAATCTCCAAGAGCATGGTTCAACAGGTTTCGTATTGGTAGTTTAGTAGGTAGGGTTCAAACAATGTTAGTTTGATCACACTCTCTTTGTTAAGAGGTGTCAGGAACAAGTTGTAGTGTATGCGGATGATATCATTATCACAAGGAACTGTAACTCAGAAATACAAAGGTTGAAGGAGTTTTTTGGCTTCCCAATTTGAGGTGAAGGATCTGGGCCCTCTAAAGTATTTTCTTGGGATTGAGGTTGCTCGTTCAAAAAGGGGTATCTTCATCTTTCGGAGGAAGTACATCCTAGATTTGCTACAAGACAAACAAGCTAGGTGCAAAACTAGCAAACACCCCTATGGATGTTGATCATAAATTGGGTGATTGTGATGGTGAACCTCTAAAAGATGTGAAATAGTTTCAAAGACTAGTGGGAAGATTACTTTACTTGTCCATGACATGCCCGGACATAGCTTATCTGGTTGGTGTTCCATGTCAGTTTATGCATTCCCCTAAGACACCACATATGGAGGCTGCAAAAAGAATTCTTAGGTACCTAAAGAAGTATCCAAGAACTGGCTTGCTATTTCATAAGCACAACCATCTGAAAGTGGAAGTTTATATAGATGCCGATTGGGTAGGTGTTGTAGATGACAGGAAATCTACAAGTGGGTACTGCACTTTTGTGGGAGGAAATCTAGTGACATGGGTAAAAAACAAAATGTTGTTGCAAGATCTAGTGTTTAAGCTTGAGCTTGAGTATAAGGCTATGGCACATGGGGTGGCTGAAGCACTTTGGTTGAAGAGTTTGCTAGGAGAGCTTGGGTTCCCGGTTAATAGCCCCATGTCTCTCTACTGCAATAATAAGGCAGCCATAAACATTGCTACTAATCTTGTCCTACATGACAGGACCAAACACATTGAAGTGGACAAGCACTTCATACGTGAGAAATTATAAAAAGGGTGAAACCTGCACTCCATATGTTAACTTCAAGGAGTAGATGGCTGATATTCTCACAAAGGGACTCCATACTTGCGACATAATGAGCTATGTGATAAGTTGGGCATGATTGATATATTCAGCCCAACTTGAGGGGGATTGTTGTTAGAATGATTTGTTAGTTGTTTCTGCTGTTATAGTATTTTATGCTGTTAGTCTTAAGGGTGCTGTCAATTTGTTTGCTGTTTTTCATTATTGTTTTTTATTAGGGTGTGCTGCCAGGGGCAAGCATGTAATTTTTCCTCTTTTATTTTTTTTATCTCATTAATATAAATAGAAAGCTGGGTGCTGCCAGCTGAAGGTTTTGGCTCTCAAACAGTCGATTTCTCTTCTCCTCTTCCTCTTCTCTTCCTTCTTCTCTCTTCTTCTTTCTTTCTTCTCTTCTTCCTAGAAGAAAACAATATATACTTTTTTATCTTTCTTGGCATTGAGTCCATTATTGTTTCTCTACAAGTTTCTGTTTCAGAGTTTGGTTAGAAAGAACAAGTCAGTGCTGAAMACTAGGGGTGGCTGGAAGCCTGGAAGTTTATCCTGAAAAGAGTACAAAGAGGCATGTGCCATGGATTGGAAAGGTTACTCTAGTCATGTATATTTTCACTAGAGTGGCCTCTTGTAAGTCCTCTTCCAGGAGGAACATGTCTTTGTGATAGAGATAATTGTTTTGATTAGGGTTGTTTAAGAGAGATGAGGAGAAAGAGAAAAGGAAGAAAGACAAGAAAAGAATATTATTTGTAACTCTCCCCCAGTTTCACACTGTGTTGAAAAAAAAGAATGAAAAAGATCAAGTATCCTTGGGTACAGATATAAAATACAACAACAACAGTAAAGACATTTTTCTTTAAACTTTTTTAGAAGATTTGTATCATCTGTCAAAAGAAAAGAAAGTAGTACATTAGAGTATGTAAAATGCTGTGCAAACATATGGATAGATGTTCTTGAGCCTTCACAGAAAAAACCACTCAGGCAAAGATTTCTCTTACCATGCAAAAAGACCTCCTAATCCCCAATTTAGTCAGCATGTTTGCAATAAATTTCAGTTCCCTCAGAATCCATATTTTTTTAACATTCCTAGATGCTGAAATTTCTCTAATTTCATTGATATAATGAGCCAATTGCCAAGGCCCATTTCCAGATTGTTACACGTATTGATTGCATTCTTTGGGTCTTCTTCTAGGGCTGCAAGTTGGGCCGGGTTAGGTCGGGTTGAGGCCAACCCTAGCCCAACCCTAAATTCTAAACCCCAACCCTAACCCTAACCCTAACCCAACCCAACCTTCAACCCGACCAACCAACCCTAACCCTAACCCTAACTAAATTCCTTCTTCCCATCCCTTAAAACCTCATAAATTTCTTGATTTTAGATCTTAACTCAACTATCACTACATATATTAATCTTATGTTTCATTAGTATTTGTTTGTTGACATTTTTTTTTGTTTTGTTTTTTGGTACACAATTCAGAAAAACAAGTGTTAGAAATAACTATAGTTTATTATGAGTTATGGCTTACTATAGATCTTTCTTGGGCAGCAAACAACATAGAGGAGATGAAGAATAAAATTTTCAAAAAAACATAAAATAATATCATTAAGGTTTTAGTCTTTCTGATTAGGATTAAGTGAAGTGATTATCTTAAAAGAAATACATCTATGTGGTGGGGCTATACAAATATCATGCATCTAAACAAATCAATGTATGTTATATATTACATATAACATATATTTATATTGGCATGCACTATAGAGTCGGGTTCGGGTTGGGCCAGGTTGGCTAAGGGGTTAACCCTAACCCAACCCAAAGTAAAGTCAGGTTCATGAATTTCAACCCTAACCCTAACCCGAACCCGAACATCAACCTGACCCAACCCAACCCAATTTTTTGGGGTTGGGTTAGGGCCAACCCGGCCCAAGTTTCAGCCTTATCTTCTTCAATGGATTATGGATAAGGATGAGGGTTGAAGCTGATTGCCTAAACAAACACCTAGGGTAGATGTTACTTCTGCTTACAGGGGTTAGTATCCAGGCCAAAGAATGCTTCTATCATCCCTGAAGAATATCCCACCAATCCCAGCTGGGCCCTAGATCCTAATACAGACTATACAACTGCAATTTGATCTCTTCTACGACTAGAGGATGAAGAGTGGTTCTTTTTTATTTGATTTTTTATTTCCTATTTTGGAGGGGGGATGCTGGGATGAGATGACTGAAAGGTTTCTGGTAAATTTCTTTTTAAGTCATCAAATAGTTTGGGTTAAGACTTTATTGGGTAGATTGTAAAGTTCTTATCAAATCACCATAGAAGATTYCCCTAAACTCCTTCTGTAGCCAGCATCCAAGAGCTAAAGTGCTAAACATGGACATTGGAAAGGCTTGGCTCATTATTGCCTCTATAATCCAGAACTACCATCTTCCCCATCTGTTAGTTTGCATGACTCAAGTTCTCTCACACGTTTTGACCTATACATGCATTTTTCTATCTTCACTTCCCTCTAGATTAAAAAAAATATTGAAAAATTTCTGGCTCTCTCAAACCCCTCTTTCTTAGTACTTTTTCCTCTCCTTGATTTTTTTTAATTGTTCACTATTTAGAATATTTATGTAGCAAATTCTTACTATTTTCTGTTACCCCACAAGTGTTCTATTCAAACTATTTATTGGACATATACTGAATGACATAAAACTTTATGAATTAGACTCATTAAAATATCTTTATATTTAAGAAACAAGGAATAAAAGGACAAAATAGATCCCAATTTTCCCTAACTAAAAGAACTACTGCAACTCATTAACAATTGACCCAATTAATTGAAACTTAAATCACAAGCACTGTTTGTTCAACCCTAGATGTGGGCCCCATTGGTCAACATTTGACTGATACTGTTGACAGTCCAAAAAGACTAGCAACAGTAACCTCTCTTGATAAAATTCTTCCTTTAGTACGGTTAGTTTGAGGTTTGGAGGGTCTCTTATACACTTCTTTAAGCTTCAAAATATCCAAACTTCAAACTAATCAAATGATTGGATTAGAAGAAATTATGTCTTGATCTAGCCTTCTTAAGAAATTTGATATTTGAATACCTACTTTTCAAAATTTGCGACTGGACAAAAGTTTTCTAGGAGTTTTAAGTAAGAGAGTAAGGATTGATGAAAACCATTGACATCACTATTTGGTGATGGAAGCACCTTCACTTGATTCATAAACTATATCTATTGATTTTGCAACAAGGATAGAAAGCTGGTTGTTTGATTATGGGGAAAAGCCCCCTTTGAGGTCTTTTCTCTCCAACTGAAGAGCAGTATGATATCAGGTCAGAAATATGCGCTAATAGACTACTTATGGATGACAAAGTTGATAGACTGGTTCTTGCTGATAAAAAAAAAGTTGATAGACTGATTAACTATGTTTTAGAGGTCCACTTATGAAATTGCATGGGCTTATTATATGCAAGGACAAACAGTTTGACATGTTATTGGATATGGAATTTACATTAAAAATTGGCTTAAAATTAATGTGTGTAAATTTTATAAGAGCAATTTATAACTGTTCATTCTGATTCCTTTTTCAAATGTTCTGCTATTCTTGTTTGACAAAAAATATTTGGTTAAGAATCTTTTTATAATATATGGTTCAATGCATGCAAAATTCTGGATTAGACTTTTTTTTTTTTTGAATTTTTATTTTGCAATCACATGGCTTATCTTTGGCAAAGTACTTGATATTGCACATTTGGATGAATGTGTATTCACTATCCAACTTTTCTTTCTGTTTGACAAGGCATTGCCGTTAAAATTTGTTAAGTCTCTATAATTTATGATATTTTAAATCCCTTGGACTGTGTTTTTTGATTTTCAGGGTTCCATTGTACTACCACATGAAGTTTGCATTTCTTGTTTGGCTCCAACTGCCATCTACTGATGTAAGCACAGAGTAATATGTTTTTCATGAATGTTTCTTTATACTTGCATGAAGTCACTGTTTACCAGTTTCTTTTTCATGAATTATTAGTTGACAGATATTTGTGATAGGAAATTTAACAAGCACTGCGTTCATCGTTGGAAGAGTCTAAGTTTAAGTTATCAATTTTACCTGTAATCTCCCTCCCTCTCTCTCATATATATATATATATATATATATATATATGAGAGTGTGTATTACCAACGAGCTGTGGTTGGTCTTCCATAGGTTCAAAGGATTTTTACTTTTTTAGGCATAGATATTTTCGCTAAGGAAAAAAAGTGAATGCTAAAAATATAAAGGATGGGTTTGTTATGTTCTTCATCAAACACTTCCCTAACACTGCTGTTGATATGAGGAATGCCACCTTAGAAGGAATCTGAGATATCCAAGCAGAAGCAAGAAGTTTGATGGATTAGGGTTAAGGAACATCTAGAGAAGGAAAGAAGATTCGACTATGGATGGGCTTGTGGCTGCAGGAAGATGGAGGAGAATGCTGAAGGTTGAAGCCAAGGAGTTTCTGCTTGAAGAGCTGAAAAACAAAGGAGGGGCAAGCTTGAAGATTAGGGAAGGGAAGAAGGCCACAGTGCTGTTGCAAGGTATGGAAGTGATTAAATGGTTTAGGGAATATGCGAATGAAGCATGCCTCAAAGGT